GAGATCAATAAGTCACTATTAGATACTTGCTACAATAATAATAATAATTTATGAGTAGCAAAATAATCAGAACATAATTGAACTTAAATACAGTTCTGAGATGAAAAGATATTGAAAAGTCGCTTTGATTTAGAAAAGCAAACAATATATTTAAATGTATGCAAATATACATAAATGTATTAACCAAAATATAGTATTTGCGGGGGGGGGGGGGGGAGGCATTCAAATGGCATAATTCCCTAGAAAAATTAACAGTCCAACAAAATGAATATGAGGAAACTGATACATCAAAGGTGAATGAGAGGGGCAGCATTCAGGGGATGGAAATTGAGAACAGGGATGAGGAAAACGATGAAAGGAATGACACAGGTCAAGATACATTGGATTCATAAGCCGATTTGTTGAATGGCAACTACTTTGTACAACTACTTAAAAATAATAAAATATAATTTAAAAATATAATAATGATGTACTTTTTTAAAGGATAAAAACAGTTTTTTTAATTGACAAGGTGATGTACAAAGGGGTTACAGTTACATAACTAAGGTAGTGATTACATTTCTTGTCTAACTTGTTACCCCTTCCCAAATTTTTCTCCTTCTTTCTCCCTCCCTAACCACATCCCCAAGTTCTACAAATCATTTCCAACATATTGTCTTGTGAGTATCACAGTGACAACAGGGATACACAAAACACAAAAGAAAAAAGAAATCACGTAATACATTGAGAACCACAACAAAGTAAAACCTCCTTTGTCTAGTTCTTGGAATTCATTTCGCTTAGCATCATCTTCTATGGTCATATGTACATAGCTTTTGACCTATATCATCTGCTAAGTTTATTAAAGGATAAAAAGTTTTAAACATTAAAAAAATTAAATTTCTACTTGGGAAATAGGATTTTTCTGCTATTTTAATTTTCATTCTTTCATTAAAAGAGTATTTATTGAATATTTACTGGATGATGACCAACTTTGGAGCTTAGAGTCAAGGTTAAGATTGCCTCTCACTAGCCCTGGCCTTGGCCCATAGGCAGCACCACTGGGAGACACAGACACAACCATGAACCCAGACAGCAGTAGTGCACGCAGGATGTAACACACACATCGGTGGGTGTGTGGATTTCCAACACATATTATCTCTCTGTCAAGATATTCCTGATAAAGATTCTGACACATCTCTCAGTGCAACAGAATTCTAAACATAACTTTTTCACAGATTTTATTGTTTTATTCATTGAAATGCAACATAGCAGCTTCTTATGTCTGGTCTCGCCAGCTTACTTATTTTTCAGGAGGACCAAGACACTTTAAGAAGCCTGTATGATTTTTGTTATGCAAATTAGGCAAGGGACTATTGCAAGTTCAGAAGTGTCTCTGAACATGAGATTACCTAAGTCCATGCTTGACACCCACGTATGGGGAAAGATTCATGGCCCAAAGGGTAAGCCCATAAGTAGCACCTCCATGAAAAGTTTGCATGGTCCAATTTGGTCACCTGAATTCTCAGAAATGAAATCACTACCTCCAACTCTGATCCTCCAGGCCCAGTGTCTTACATTTCACCTGTCTTTGAATAAAACCCTGAACTACAGAGCTTACTCTAAGACTGAAAAAAACAGGTGTATATGAAGCCTGATGTCTCAGACAGGAATTAACCAAGATTGAATTATAGAAGAAACTGCACAGAAATGTGCAAAAATTAGATTCATTTACAGTTCCTTTCTTTAAAAAAATACACACATTTTGCACTTTAGATTTCCTGTAAGTTTCTCTTTTGGGTAAAGGATTCAAAAAATATCATTCCAGAATATAACAAGAGATGGTTTGCCTTGAAAACCTGCTTGGCAATTCTATTTAAGCCACAACAAACCCAGGCATGATAGTTCTAATTGATAATCTCAATACTGACAAGGCTAAGACAAGCAGATTGTTGAGTTAGGAGCCAGGCTAGTCTGAGCTGCACAGTGAAATCTCCCATATGAGATGAGTAGTGTGGGCTAACAGTATGGCTCAACTGGTGGACCGCCTGCCTGCATAGCAAGAGCAAAGTGCTGAGTTCAAGCTCTGGTACCATTCAAAAAATTAAATAACAATCAATGAATCTCATATTCTTCAAGCAATTCAACTAGAACTAAGGCTAAAATTAATGTACAAAAGGTATATAGGCCGGGCACCTGGGCTCAGGCCTGTAATCCTAGCTACTCAGGAGGATGAGATCTGAGGATCACGGTTCAAAGCCAGCCCAGGCAGGAAAAGCTGTGAAACTCTTATCTCCAGAAAACCAGAAGTGGTGCTGTGACTCAAGTGGTAGAGTGCTAGCCTTGAGCTGAAGAGCTCAGGGACAGCGCTCAAGCCCAGAGTTCAAGCCTCATGACCGACACCCCCCCCCAAAAAAAAAAAAAGAAAAGAAAAGGTATATAACTTCAATTGTATACAAACTCAGTAATTTTATTTTCTATCTTTTAGTGGTTATTTAGATAACACTTGAAAGTAAGATATAATAGAAAAAGGAAGAAACCTATATTCCAAACCCATCTGATCAACTGGTACTAGGCTCGCATGCATGTTTTCTATGTACCAAAAGCTCATAGTAAGCAAGAAAATCAGCCATTAAGAATGTTCATGCCAACCAGGCGCTGGTGGCTCACACCTGTAATAATAGCTATTCAGGAGGCTGAGATCTGAGGATTGCAGTTCAAAGCCAGCCAAAGAAGGAAAGTCTGTGATCTACAATTAACCACCCCAAAACTAGAAGTGGAGCTGTGACTCAAAATAGTAGAGGGCTAGCCTCAAGCACAAAGGCTCAGGGACAGTGTCCAAGCCCTCAGTTCAAGCCCCATAATTCACACACAAAAAAATGCTCATACCACAGTTCTTGTTTCTCTACTTCAAAAGAACTCTTACTGGAAACAGATCTTAGAAGTTCATCATCCATACCCAAATGTTGGAGGCTGATTTGAAAAATAAATTCAGCATACACAAAACAATATCTACATTTTTTGGCTGAAATTTCTAGATACTATATTGATAATTTTTCAGCTTTAGGACATAAGATAAAAGATACATTTAAGCCAGGTGCCAATGGCTCACGCCTGGAATCCTAGCTACTCAGGAGGATGAGATCTAAGAATCATGGTTCAAAGCCAGCCCTGGCAGGAAAGTCCTTGAGACTCTTATCTCCAAGTAACCACCAGAAAACCAGAAGTGGCGCTGTGGCTCAAGTGATAGAGCTCTCACCTTGAGCTGAAGAGCTCAGGGACAGCTCCCAAGCCCAGAGTTCAAGATCCATGACCAACAAATAAAAGGAAGAAAATGATACATTTAGTTATTTTGGTTGGTTGATTTGTTCATTGTTAATGCCTCTCCCAAATGGTCCAAGAGATGCATGCTAAATCAATAAACTCACAGTCAGACAGCTTATAAGTGGCAACACCCATCTATTTACCCCAGAAGTCAGACCTGAGCTTTTCTACCAGAGCAGAATCACAATGGCAATTGTTTACATAAGCAAAACATACAATATGCATTCTTTCTTCAAGCTAATATTCAATGAGATCTAATGCTATCAGATCTTCCAGAGCAGATACTATTAGATGAGTATAGTGTCATGCAGAATGATAGGTATCACTGCCAGTACTGTTACCCAGCCCTGAATAAGAGATCAGTTTTCAGTGATGTACTAGTACATGCTAACAGCAGGCTGAGAAAGGACAAATGAAGAAGGACAACTATTTGCTTTTTCTCTTTGCCATCTTCCTGCCACAACCATTTGTAAACTAGCAACCTGACATCAGGGAAAATGTGGAGTTGGGAAGAAACATCCGTTATGAGCCTGTGTATGTGCTAGCTTCAACAAGACACCAAAAAATATACTTGTACAAGTGCAAAAATGAACGAGGAGTAGCGGGAGAGAAAGCAAGGTACACATGTCTTACACACTTGCTCTATCAGATACAGATGGGATTGATAAGGGACCAAAAAAAAAGAAAAAAATAACAGGTCAGGGAGGTGGTGGATAGGCAATGTGGAGCAGGAAGAGACAAGGACATTTTTTTAATTGTGTGTTATTATCTTGAAGGAGTCTTACAAAGGAATTGCAATGTAACAAAGGCATTTATAATAAAATGCATTTTGATCAATGTTACCCCTTTCAACACTCTCACTTATCTCTGCCAACCAACCTTTTCCCTGGCTTTTCTCAATAAATTCAATGCTTGACTGCATTCTCCCCCTACCTTCTCCTCTTTGTCTTCCCTCTCTATTTGACCCAACTCCACCTCCTTCAAGTATTTTCTTCATAGTGTTTATTTTGTTGAATTTTCACTTTGCCTTTGTAAGGAATTACACTTGAATCTATCATATTTCAGTAGATAGATAGATAGATAGATAGATAGATAGATAGATAGATAGATAGATAGATAGATAGATCTCCCACCCAGTGTATTTACTTGCATGTTTATAAGCTAGTTCTCGCTTCCACATATAAGGAAAAACATTCAATCTTTGTCCTTCTGGGCCTGACTTACTTCACTTAACATAATTTTTAGGAGACTATAAGAGGAAGGTTACAGAAGGGGCCAGTTGTGTAACATAAGAAGAACATAGCAGGGAACAGCTCACTGGGGGCTATAATAATGGCTTAGGACTCAGTTCTAAGGATTTGTGGGCCAGAGGTGTGGCTCAAAAGGAAGAACACCTATCTGCCTAAGCAAACATGACTTCCTGAGTTCAAACACCAGTACTTAAAGAAAAAAAAAAAGGAAAGAAGGATTTGTGAGATGGGAAAATACTAAAGGATGTTTCTGTTTTGTTTCTCATTAAGGAGTGCATAACAAATGAACTGGAAAAGGAAAAGAGATCTAAGTATTTTCTTGTACTTCCTAAGCTGCTTTAAATATGACACAGACTCTAATTTTGGTGGAAAATATATAAAACTGAATGAAAAATGGAAATACAAGGGAATATACTGTACCTTGTTTTACCTGTAAGGAACACACACCTGACAAAAGGCAATTTTCACATCCAAGGTTGGTTCACTGCAGTAGTATAAGAAATGGAGGCTCATAAATACCTACAAGGGAAAAAAATAGGTCATTAATTTCTAAGCCACTAATTTTTCATGAATTATAATATGAGCTGTAAAGTGATTAGAATTATACATGGGTATCATGTGCAGCATATCTTCACTGTAATCTTTATTCAGACAAGTACTAGGTACTTTCCATAATTTATAAATATTGAATGATAAGATATAAAATATTCTATTTTTATAATGATCAGTATCATTACGATCATAAATATTGTATCTTGAAGGCTGACTGTAGTGGTTTACACCTGTAATCTCTGTTACTCAGGAAATATAGGTAGGTCCCAAGCAAAAAGGAAGACTCTACCTAAAAACATAACAAAAGCAAAAGGGCTAAGGGCATGGTTCTAATGGTAGAGTACTTATACAGCATGAGGAGCTGAGTTCAACCCCAGTTCTAAAGGAAAAAACAAAAACCTGGATATAGCAAGTAAGTTAAAGTCCTATTATATAGAACTCTATATAATATATGCTCTATTATATAGACAACTCAAATGAAGATGAATTGTTTAAACAAGTGCAAGTATTTATGATTTACATATAAAATGTTCCCAACAGTCTTGTGTGTTGAAAGCTGGGCCCACAATGCAGCAATGTTCTGAGGAGATTGGATCATGGAAGCTCCGATTTCATCAATAGAGTCATTCATTGATAGATTCATAGGGGTAGGGCTTAGTTAGAGGAATTAGGTCATTGGAGGATTTCCCTGTCCTTCTCCATGATCTGCTGCCTCATCAAAGGCCAAGCAGTGCAGCCCAGTGATGATAGACCAAACTTCTGAAACTTCCTACTGCGATAGGAAGCTAACACAATTCTACTCAATAAAAAGCAATTTGTAATGTCACCCTTTCAATTGCTCCGCCCATCTCTCCCAACCCCACCCATCTCCTCAAGTTCCCTGGTTCCATTCCTTTTAGTTTTTATTTTGCCTCTGAGATGGAGCTCATTAATGTTTGCCCAAGCTTGCCTCAAACTCAGAATCTTCTTGCCTATGTCTCCCAAGTAGCTGAGATTACAGACATGTGTCACCACACCTAGCCAGCATTTCCATTTTTATGTTATTGTAAATGACAATTCTGTTTTATTTCTATTTTCATAATATTCATTTCCAGCACTGAAAATATACTGCTCCACTGTTTCTCCATTGTCTAAAAGCATGCATGAAATGAGGACAGTTTCTTTCAATTTTTTCCCAGTGTCTCAATGCACTTGATCATACTTCCATTACAGCTATTACATAATATTACAAGCAGATCACATGTCTGGGCCACAGTTCTTCATGATTTTCTCAAGAAAAATGAGTGTTTCACAGCCCCAAACATAGCCCTATGCTTAGTATACAGCTGATGTCAAGTAAATGTTTGCTGAATGAAAGGAGATCTACATGAGAGAACACTTCTTTTTGTGGCTAACACAAATCTAAGTATTTTCCTTACCTCTTGCACATTGAAAACTGTGAATGGGAAATAAATTCAATGCTAGCAAATTAGGAATGACCAGTTTACAGTAGTAAAAGTATGAAAGAGACCAATCATGGATGACCTCAGACATGCTACCTAGTAAGGAGGTTTTAGTGCTATACTCCAGAAATGAACATGTGGGAAATAATAATATCTAGCCCACCTACCTGAAATAAACGTTTTAATTTTTAATGAATGAGCAATCTTGCCATGCAAAGGAAGCATCCTGACCTCTCATAGTTTGCATGACAATGCCTCCCAATGTAGCAGCATGACTGAATAAATCACAGCTGGATCTGCTTGTCAGACAAGAAAAAGGCTTGCTGAGAGATGCCAGTGAGTTTCGAAAAGGTGGTTGTTCCTTCTATTTCTTGAAGGTATGGCAGAGAGCATTTGCCACCATTGCATAGAAACAACTGAAATGCCCAGGTCATGATCTGGCAATGTTCTTTAATAGATTTAGTAACAATATATATTTAGTACAGCATAAGACCATAAGTGAGTAGCTTGAAAGGGAAGAGAGGGTAATTTGGGGGCACTTAACAATCTCCACAACTAGTGTTATTATGAGCAAAGTCCTCCACATATCCCTTGCTGTTAATATACTTAGTTTTCCCTCATTGTGTGCCTATCAAGCATCTGTCTAACAAGCTTGAGGCCCTGAGTTCAAACACCACTACCACTGCCCCCCGCCCAAAAAAAATGAAAGAAAAAAATACACCTTGAAACTAGTTATTATGTTTCAAAGATGGATAGGAAATTTGTGACAAGGATTGTATGACACATAAATTTATTTACTATCAAGCCCATTACAGAAAAAGTTTGTCCATATATGATTTAAAGAATTATAAGTAAAAAAAATATTGAAAACCTCAATATTAACCTCAATGTAAAGGCCAAAATAATGAATTGTATCTCAGGACATAGTATATAAACATACAAAGTACTTTTTTTGGGGGGAGGACCTCCGGTCGTGGGGCCTGAACTTTGGGCCTGGGCGCTGTCCCTCAGCTCTTCAGCTCAAGGCTAGCGTTCTACCTCTTGAGCCACAACACCACTTCCGGCTTTTTTCTTTTTGCTTATGTGGTGCTGAGGAATCGAACCCAGGGCCTCATGCATGCAAGGCAAGCGCTCTACCACTGAGCCACCTTCCCAGCCCCACAAAGTACTTTCTAATAGGTAATACCTCTTTAAGAGTTTCACATCTAATTGGATGGTATGTTAGTACAACACAATATTCCCAGTACTGGAATGCCTCAACAATAGAAGGAGAACAAACCCAAACAACACAAATAGGAGATGAAAGGTATAGAAATCAGAAGAGAGCGCAAAAAAAGGTTTGTTTGTAAATCTAGGCACCTTCTTACATGTGCCTAGATAAATTGTTCTTTTCACAACATTGATGAGGTTACCGTTGCGAAGACATAACATTGAAGTGTCTTTTTTTTATTAAACCATAGACATTATGTATCCCTTAAAATGTGGCCTATACAAAGTGTTGTCTGTGTGAATTGATCTGGAATTACAATCCTTTCAGCTTTATTTTTTCTGTCTTTGACACACCTGTGGAAGATCAGGACTGCTGTAGTGAAATCAGTAAGAAATCAACACAAACTGTAATAATAAAAAAAACAAAAGACAGTGAAAGGATAAGCATATCTATCAAAAAATGTCATGCCAATCACTACTTTTAAAAAATTAAAAGGAGGGTAAGATATAGGAACCCTATAGTAGAATCGTTTCCAACTCCATTCCCCATTCCCCATAGAAATCTAACTAACAACTAACAGGTAAGATTAGCTTTACAAATATCCCAGGGCTGAGGATGGAAGGACTGACATTTTTGAAATCTTCACTTTCTCCTTTTTTTGTCGTGTTCTTACTCAATTTTTGTATCAGGGTAATAGTGACTCATAGAATGTGTTTGGAAGCATTCCTTCCTTCCCTTTCTTTTTTATGGAATAATTCAAGGAACAATGGTATTATTTAGTTCTTTAAAAGTCTAGAAACAGCATCCAGAGTTCAAGCCCCAAGACAGGCAAAAAAAAAAAAAAAAAAGTCTAGTAAAATTAAATAGAGAATTTATTGAGTTTGGGTTGTCTTTTCTTGGAAAGCATCTGATTATTGTTTCAATTTTATTGTTTATTATCTCTGTGTGTGTGTGTGTGTGTGTGTGTGTGTGTGTGTGTGTGTGTGTGTGTGTGTGTACATGTTTGCCAGTCCTGTGGCTTGAACTCAGGGCCTGAGTGCTGTCCCTGAGTTTTTTGTTCAAGGCTTGTGGTTCACCATTTGAGTCTCAGCTCCACTTCTCATTTTAATTGGAGATAAGGAGTCTCAAGTACTTTCCAGCTGTGTCTGACTTGGAACTGAGATCCTCAGTTTTCAGCATCCTGATTATAGGTGTGAGCCACTTATACCTGGCCTTGTTATTTACATGTTAGGTCTTTTATATTCTCTTAGTTCAATTTTTGTAGGTCACTCTTTCACCTAGTTTTTTCAATTGTTTGAAATACAATTGTCAAAACATTCCTCAATTACTTCCTGGGGATTTCAGTGGCATCTACTTTTTCATTCTTTAAATCTTCATTTTACTACTTCCATTTATGATTTTATTAATTCTGACTTTCTATTAACTTTTAGTTTAGCTTGTTTTTATTTTTTCTAAGACTTCAGGGTACAACTTGGGGTTGTATACTTCGCATCTCTCTGATATTTTAATGTAGGGAGTCATAAATATAAACTTCCTTTACATTGCCTTGGTTGTATCCCACAGACTTTGGTAAGTTGTGTTTCTATTTCCACTTGATGTAGAAATCTTTGAATTTCTGCCTATTTCTTTAATTGTCCACAGATGTCTCAAAAGTGTATTGTTCATTCTATGTTCATATTTTCTAGTTTCTTCACAATTTCTTTCCAGTATTATACAATTATGATCTAATAAAATAACTAGAAAATATTCTGGTTCTTAATACTTAAGACCTACCTAAAATATAAAATATAGGTCAGTACTTTGGTTTTTACAGAAGTGCCAAGAACACACATTGAGCAAATGATAATCTCTTCAATAAACAGTGTCAGAAAACTGGATAGTCACATGCAGAAAAAAGTGAAATTGGTTTATAAGATTATTTCTTTGTTGCTTTGTATGTCCCTCCCCCAGTATAACCCCTGCTTTCACTGTATTTGATGTCGGGATAATTTGTGGAGGGGAAGGAGAAAAACAAATCGTTTAAATAGGGATACAGGTGGACCCATTGCAACAACGAGATGTACAAGTCGTTATGTGGAAAACGAACTTTACAACTTTCGTGCTGGGGGAGGGGAGGGTCGGGGGGCGAGGGAGAGGAGGACGGGAAGGGATGGGAAGGGGAAATAAAGGAGGAGGCGACAATGCTTGATATGAAATGTACTCATTATCTTGCCCATGTAATTGTGACTCCTCTGTACAGTATTTTCACAAAAAAATAAAATAAAATTAATTCAACAACAACAAAAAAAAGTGAAATTGGGCCCTTGTCTCACATC